GTTGTTACGGACGGTTCAGTGGCAAAGTTTATCTGCAGCCTATCACCACAAAAGTGCGAGTCATTTATATACTAAGCGACAGGTGTCATGCCACGTGTTCGAAACAAGCAAGTTTTTACATAGCCTAAGATCAAGCAATGGCGAAAATGGTCGCGAATATTCGCGACACTCCGGCGCGACAACAATGAATATGAATGGGAGATTTACTACATAAGTAATCTACTATAAGTAAGAGATGAAAGCAAGCAAAGAGAAACTGTAAAATGAAACAAATGCAATCTGCGAAATAAAATGAATATTGTATCGGGACCTTCGTTTGTCCGCTGTGTCTTCTTGATGGCTTTCTTTGTTGTGCTGACTCATCGCACCACCGGCCGACCATGTGCCAACGATTGATCGAGTTTGAAGCAGTGAAGACAGATCTTCGAATACCATGTATACCAACCGAACGAAGCGATGGCAGCAAGAAATGCCATATGAAATAGAACCGTCAGAGAATATTGTTGTGTACGAGCCGAGTGAGTGATGACGGTACAGAGCGAATAGCGGTGGCGTCAGTAGAACAACTGGACGAGACGATAGGTGATACAGGATGAATAAAGGACGAAGGGAAAGCGGGGTAGGGAAGGGAGGGGAGGGGTTGCGACGTTCGTTTTCACGACCGTGCAACCTCTTTTCAGTGAATCTTTTCACATCTTTCTTCTTTTGAAAGAAGTCGATGCGCTTGAATATTTGTGTGGGCACAGCAGAACGTTGTGGTCACGACCACAATAGGAACAGTCGATGCCGCAATCATCAGCGTGTCTTGGTTGGAGACATTTGTTGCACAGATGGAGGTTAGCTGCTTGAACTGCACGAGAGACTGCGTCCCGGAAACGGTAGCAACGACCGGTAGGGTGCGAGTCATTGTTGTCCTCGATGGAACAGAATACACAGTTGGATTTGGGTTCAGTTCTTTTGAGGATCAGATCGATTTTGTGATTCGGAGTATCGGCTTGATGGTTAAGCATGTGATGATGGACTCCATCTTCGCGTCGAATGAGTTGATGAACAAAGTCAGCTGATTCTTCAGTTCTTTGACATCGTCAGCAATGGGCTCGATGTGGATTACGAAGTCAACGACGTCCATGGGAACGAAGAGGCGAATGAGTGGTTTGATGGTATGAAGCCATGTCTGTAGTGTTGCGACTATTTTTTGCTGCTACTCTACAGCTGTCTCTGCGAAGGAATTTCTAGAGGGAAGGGAGACGAGTGAAATGCTAGTTGGAAAGGAGAGGCGTTCTATTTTTGGCATATCTTTTTGATGAGCTCACACGCTGCGTGAAGAAGTGAAAGTACTAACTGGGCGAATAGTTCAGCGGATGTGAACAGTATTTGAATCAGGTAAAGGATAAGAGTCGGTCCTAAGAAGTATGTTGCTATGCCAATGATCGCAGTGGCTGTGAATATGAGGAGTGCAGCCTTCCAGTGATCAGCTGCAGCCCGTAGAAGGGGTCTTAGATCGGGGATGTTGAAGTCATGGAACCAGCTCGTAGGTTCTGTCCAGGACTTTTCATGGGAGTCCAGGATTTCAGAATCATGAACATGGGGCATATAAGCTAGGGTACCATGCACCTTTAACTTTGTTGCTTGCTCATTGCATTCTACTCGACATTCTTCATCCACGATTGCTTTTTGGAAGTCGAGAATGACTTGCTTCGGTTCGATTAGATGAATCACATTCGACCGAAAAGCTGTGTTCGTCGCAGAGAATGACTATCCATGCCGGTTTTTCTGTCAAGCATGAAACGTTCAATGTGGCTCCTTCTAAGCAGTTATAGCATCCTCTGATAGGTCCTAAGGACACTTTGCAGGCCTGTCGCACCACGTATTCAGCGGTCTCTTTCATGATCTTGGATTCGATTGATATTGTCATTTCCTCCTTTGTGGAGAGCGCGGATGATTCGTTTTCGCCGATGATTCTCATGAAGGGAGTTGAAATGGGGAGCACGTTGGATATATCTGCTCTTATGCTCGCTATGGTTTCTTTTGGGCAATTACAATGGACTGGTTCATCCGTGACGTCACATTCGCAAACTACTCGATTTTCGCATTGGTGGAAGTTGCTTGAGGCTTGTTCCTTGGTAGAACATTCCACGGGAACTTATGTTGTTCTGGTATCGCTAGGATTTCGTTTCTTGCAATCGCAAATCTGCCATTGAGAATATTTCCCACCGGTTTTGTGACTGATATCACGGTGACGGACAGTTCACCAATCGGTTCTGTTATATATGGTTTGAGAACGAGAGTTTTGGTAACGTTCTTATTGTACAACGAGATGTGTACTCGCAACCGCACCACCGGTTTCCATTCCATGCATTCAACGACCTCGTATACAAGCTTGGATCGAGGAACGTGTGCAATGCGATAGAATAAACACGAAGGAAGAATCATTAGACAGCCGCACAGTATTCCTCCGCATGATTCTTTGCAACCGGAATATCCGGGATATTGAGAGGCATTTGCCAGCTCTGGGATAATTGTGGAGGGCTTGATTTGCGAGCACACTTGTGCTGTACATGATCCCATTTGCGCGCATCTTTTGACACTAAACACTGTGTAGCGTGAATCCCTTGTAAAGAACAAGGATCGCTTGGAACAATGTAGTTCCACTGCGAGTCGCTGCACGGAGATCATGCCTACTGATGTATTTGCGTGTAAAATGGTGATACATATAGCATTATTGACTTCATTAAATAAAACTTCTCTGTTGAACTCAATAGAACAAGTGCCGTTGGAACTGCAACTGATTTCGGTGTAATGTCTCATGTGTCCGTGTTGGCATGCTTCTGATTTCTCGCTGAGTGATGACTAATGCGAGAGCTACTATTGCGGTAATGCCTATGCGCTGCGGAGTGAATGTTCTTAGGCTATTGTTTTTGCCGCCACAGCTGCCGGCGTTCCACTTGGGTCTCTGTGTTGCTCACGCAAGGAGTCGAACTTTCGACACTTTTAGGATGATCGGCGACATCTCCCGCTTTGCAATTGCGTTGGCGCGCGCTACTTCGCAATTGAACAATGGTGAAGGGTACGGAAAAGGCGAAATAAATGCTGAGTGCGACCGATATGAATGCTTTAATGGGCCAACAGTGTGGATTACCGATCAAGTGTTTTGAAAACATAGCTTTAGAAGTTTCACATACATGTGGAAGAGAGCAATTGATGCGATATTCTTTCACCAATGTTTGGTTCGTGTATCTCATCAGAATGCTTATGCTGCTGTTTGTAGTTGTTGATGGCAAGTGGAAGAAGGAAGTCATCTTGCCTTTGTGGAAAGCGTTTGCAGGTTTGTCTTACGCAGAGTTCAAAAGTGGTGTTGGGTGGGATGATCTTGACAGCTCCGTTTTCGCAAGAAAGTGGTGGAGAAGCCTCCGTGTGAACGATTGTAGGGTAATCATGGTCAATGTCATGACTAGAGAAGATGTGACCATTGGTGGAGGAGTCTGGCTAAGCTCATCTTCCTTTCTTATAAATCTGATTGCTTCCTTGATTTTTCCTTGCTCTGACTTTAGCTTCTCTTGGAGGAGGATGCCTAGATGGGATGTTCTCATTTTCGTGTTTCTCGGAGGAGACAGCGCTATCTACAGATGAGTGTCGTTGATCTTCGGAAGTAATTTCCAGGGGGTAGATCTTACTCAGTGGTCTGTGCCATACATGCCTATTGGGCATCAAAATTTTTGCTGATCGTACCAATCCGTCTGCGCTTCTCACCAGATCGAGGATCTTTCCGTAGGACCAGCTACCACGTGGGATGTTTTCCTGCTCAATAAGGACGATCTCCCCAATGTTGGTTCTCGCAATGGCATATGTCGGCGTTGTTTACGCTGTGTGCTTTGAATTTCGCGTAAGGCAGTGAGATACTCTGTATGCCATCTTTCCCAAAACTTATTGGCAATCAGATTCATATGCTCGACGCCTGTCTACCTTGGGAAACTGTCTGTATAAGATCTGGGTCGTAGTCAGGGTCGTCCAGATGGCCTTCTGTTGGGGCTAAGTCATATTTCAGACTACTCTGAAGAAAGTCTATGGGTCCTGATGGGTATTTCGTCAACACATGAATTCAAATGAGTGAGTGGTCTTGTGTTGATAATGGCTTCGATTTGAGTGACAGCCGTATATAACTCTGAGTGGGATAGCTTTCTCCTTCCGATAGCCTTCGCGAAGGCGCGTTTAACCGTACCAACCAATCTTTCCCAAGCTCCTCCCATCCACGGCGCAGCCGGTGGGTTGAATATCCATTGAATTCGATGGTTGGCGCTGTAGGATAGAACAGTATTCTCACTTCCTATTGAAGCATGTTGAAACATGAATTCAATAACACGCTGCCCCAGTTTGAAATTCGTTCCACAATCAGTTCGTATGATTTGGGTGCGCCTCTCCTGGAGATGAATCGTATGAACGAATTGAGGAAGGCTTCTGCGGACATATCTTCTACCACTTCTAAGTGTACGGCTCGCGTGGTTAGGCATGTGTAGAGGCAGATGTAGAGCTTTTCATTGGTCTTCGAAGAGTATGGTCCCATGAAATCGCAACCGACGGCTCGAAAGGGCTGAGTGAGGACAGCTCTATCGGATGGTAGCGGCGGCATTTCTGGGGCTCCAAACGGGAGACCGTTAACCTTTCTACATATCACACAGCTTCTTCAGAAATTTATTGTAGACTCCTGATGGGCGTGGAATCCAAAAGCGCTGTCTAGCGATGCACAGTGTGTGGTACTTGCCGCAGTGCGCATTCCTAGTGTGGATATCTCTAAGGACGAGACGAGTTATTTCTGAATCTTTTTCGAGGAATATGGGATTTTTCGTATCGTGCGGCACAAGCGAATTCTGGAGGCGCGAGGCATTCCTTATGATACCTTGTTCGTCTCGAAATATTTTCTTTTGGAGGGAATCTCTTGCGCAATTTTTCCACGGAAATGGAAGCGTGGGCTTGGCGAAGTAGTAGTGTCTCGCTCAAACTAGGTCATCCGCTGTGATGTTAAAGTGGGGATTGAAGCGATGTAGGTATGTGAGATGAATTTGGTGATCGTTTTTGAGGTTGACATTTTTCACCCAGTTGAGAGCAGTTTTCGCGACTCGAGCGGTCGTTCTGAGTGCTTTGTTGAGACACGAAAAACGCGAGAGCTGAACAAGTGGTGAGGAATTGAATTATGCTCAGTAGCGGGCATCTCCAAAACGAAATCATTGAATGTTTTCGTTCCTTCTTCTTCTTCTAGCACTTCGTTCTTGCGGAGATTTTCGAAGGCTCTGAGTCGACCACATGCTTGTTCACTGCTCAACCAGTGTGGTCCTTTTATCCATGGTAGGTCATAGACCTGTGTGGCGGTCACTCCGCGCGTTCCTGCATCAGCGGGATTATCTTCTGTAGGAACGTGCAAAAAGTTCACTTCCACTCCCTGAGAAACGAAAGCTTCTTTCTGCTTCAGAATGCGGCATTTTTGATTTTCGACGAAAGCGGGTAGGCTACGATGGGAAGTAACCCATGAAAGTGCAATTTCGCTGTCACTGACTATGTTGATCTTGTGGAATTTTATCTTGCTGGCAGCACTTATAGCCTTTGCAAGACGAAAGGCCATAAGGATGGCCACCATTTCGAGTCTCCGTATGGTTTGTTTTGTTTTCTTGGGCGCCAAGCGTGTTTTTCCGCTTACGAGCGGCGACACTCTTTTTGTACTTTCCTGACGAAGGAAAGCGCAGGTTGCTAGCGCTGTCGCACTAGCATCTGCAAAGACCCATAAGCTGCAGGTGGCGTCGAGGCATTCAGTCGACGGTCCCACGTACCGTGGTAAGGAAATGCAGACGCCATTTAGTTCTTGACAGGCCTCGTTCCATTTCTGGGCAAGGTCATCTGGCACTGGGTCCTTCCATTGTATTGTATCGTATATCTTTCTCATGAGATGTTTGAGGCGAATTGTCAATGGACATACAATTCCGATGGGATCGTATATGGAATTAAGGGTACTGACTACATCCTTCTTTGTAAGACTAGATTTTTTACACAAGGCTAGCTTGATTCTGAATTGATCCCTTTCCTTGTCATAGATCACTCCCAATAACTTTTGTAATTCCTTCAGGAGCTTTGTCTATTTTTGGTATGGCGTCATTTACATCTTTGTGGCTGGAGGCGTATTCGCGGAGGTTCATTGCTATTTCGGCTAGCAGTTTCTTGCTCTCTCGTATTTGACAATGGCCTCGCTTGGTGTTGTTGCAGTTAGGAGAATATTGTCAACGTAGAGGTTGTCGAGAATCTCTTTCGAAAGCTGTGTGTCCTTAGATTGCAAGAATGCGAGAAGCGACATGTTGAGAATACTGGGTGAGGGCTTGGCTCCGAAGGGTACTCTTTTGAAACGATATTCGATTATGTTTTCTCGCGTTGGAGAATTATCGGGGTTTTTGAGCCAAAGAAATCGACACAAATCTTTGTGTGCCTCGAGTAGTCTTATTTGCTTGAAGGCAGCCTCTATGTCACAATTCATGACAATTTTGCCTGTCCTACCGGCAATGAGGATGTTCATGAATTTTACGAACCAGCGATTCTCCTTTAAGGGTAACGTCATTCAGTGATAGATGTCCTTTTCGCTTGGAAGATGCGTCGAAAACGATGCGAAGTGGTTTGGGCTTGTGTTTCCCGCCACACTCCTGAATGAGGCATGTAGTAAAGTCCGACAGAATCAGGGACGGGTCCAGATACCCTTTCAATTATGTCGTCCTTTTCGTACTGTTTCAAAATTTTGCAGTACCACTCTTTTTGCAAGGGTTGCTGTCAAGCTGACGATGCAAGCTTATAAGCCTTCGAACTGCGGAAGGGTAGTTGTCGGTTAAGTCGCAAACATTATCTTTAAGTGGGAATGGTGCTACAACATAACCGTTCTCGAAGGAAATTTGCTTCGAATATTTTTTGAAGTACGAAAGGAGCTCACTGTTCTCTGTGCTATTTTCACTTAAAATTCCCATACCCTCTAATTCGAAGAGCTTGTCCAGATTTCTCTCGTGGTTGTAACAGTATTTGGCCGATGCACCAAAACTGTTACGACGGTTCAGTGGCAAAGTTTATCTGCAGCCTATCACCACAAAAGTGCGAGTCACTTATATACTAAGTGACAGGTGTCATGGCACGTGTTCGAAACAAGCAAGTTTTTACATAGCCTAAAATCAAGCAATGGCGAAAATGGTCGCGAATATTCGCGACATCCTGAGAATAGAAAAAAGGTTACAAATTAAGATTATAATTGAACACTTTTAGTATACACCAGTCGGATCGCCCGGCTGACGCCGAGCTCTCCTCCTTCCTAGCTCGGCTTCGCCGAGCTGGCCTGGCTTCGCCAGGCGCGCTCCATAATGGGAAACGGAACTCTTTCAATCACTGCGTTGCTCATAGAGCCTCGAATACTCGGC